TCGTCACCATCAGATTCACCAGCTTCGCCAGCATTGGCTTCATGGACGTGCTCCGTGGAATTCACCTCAAAGTCCAAGTCCAAAGGATCCTTCCACATGAGACTGGATTCAAAGTCAAATTGCTCAAGAAAAGAGTCCACCAATGCATCGGCGAAGGCAGCTGTGTAGTGGCCTGCAATGGCCGTCACTTTGCTCCCACCAATCACAGGTGCGTGGGCATGGTCACCTGGGCATTGGCATCCCAGCATGTTGGAGATGACAGCTTGCATGGATGTCACCAGCTGAGTGCTCTTCCTGTGGAAAAGTCCATTTGCAGCTTTGAGGCCAAAGTAGCACATGTCAATGAAGACCTTCATCGCATGATGTTGGGTCATGAAACTTTCCAACTCATCAGTCTTCCAGGCTTGAGATGGTCGAGGATTTTCCATCACATAGTGTCGACCTTCTCGAACTTGAAGCTCAGCAACCTGGATGGCAAAACGAATGAGGGTCAATCAATCCTTGGTCTCTCTTCTCGGCTAAGTCCAAAGCCGGATTCAAGAATTGAAGAGGTGACCAAGGTCCGCATGGAAATGCCAACACCACCACATAGGGCTTCCGACGACGTATCAAGTCCAAGGCCTTTTGGCGATCAGCAGCCAACAGAAAATTCCAACCTGTTGACAAAGTCAAGCTGTCACCAGCATGAAGGCCACGTCGACGGACACTTCTGGCAATTGGTTCAGTGTCGGTGAACACCTCAGTCGCCAGAATGTTGGGAAAAGTGAACTCAATGCTGAAGGTCTCGTTCATGCAGTCTCGCATCTCGTGATCCCATGAAGTCAAAAGGATCTGATGCACATCAGAACGCTGACATGAGATGAGCTTCTGCTCCTTCTTGTGCTTGGCCCATGCCTGTGTGATCATCTGCTTCACACCAGGCTTGATCTTGTCGTTCAGGACGAAGGCACTGTTTCCGGCATGTCGGCGTCCACTTCCAGAGCTTGAGGAAGAAGTGGACCTTGCTGAACGGCCTGCATGACCTGCTACATCATGAGATTGAATCGCCCTTCCTGGTCTTTCACCTGCTGTTGCAGTTTCTGACTCAAGGCAGTCAACTGAGCCATCTGCTCGTCTGCCACTGTCGAAGGCTTCAACCATGAAGACTCGGTGGATCCTGGGCTGGATGCCTGAGGAGTTGCCAATGATTTTGCCTTCGGTGTTGCCTGAGAGGCAGCTTTGGCAGGGGCCACATTCTTGAGCATCTCGATGGAAGGTTTGATCTTCTCCTGGAGCTGGGCCACCGTGTCCTTGGGGTTCACCGGAAGGTGCAGGAGCAATGCAAGTCTGGTGAGGTCGTCCTTCAGCGCTGGAAGACCACCACGAGGTCCCACAAGGGCGCGGGCCGCTTGAAGTCGATCTCGTTCTGCCAGCTCGATGTTCATTCGCTCTTGGGCCTCTTGAATTGCAGCAGCTTTGATCCTCTGAGATTGGCCACGGCGTCCTCGAGCAAGTAGAAGACCTTGCATGACTCCATCCTCCAGGAAGGCTGCTTGCCAGCCGACTCGATCCCTGAAGCGAGACATGGCAACCAAGTTCGCCGCTGTGAAGGCTCCATTGGCTTGTCCTCGAAGAAGATGTCGAGAGCTCAAAGCGCTCCCATGAGTCATAGCTTCCGCTTGCAGCAGCCAATCCTTCACTGTAGCAACTGCTGGATAGGGATATGGCAAGTAGCGCAAAAAGGGGCGCTGCACCAACCACAAAAGCAAACCATGCCAGTGCCAGATGGCCCGATCTACGAGTCGAAGAACAAATCTTCGCCATCGGTATGGAGCGAATGCCAGGTTGATGTTGTCCTTGTACTGGCGAATCAGTCCCGGTGTCAAGGGGACAAGTTCTTCGCTTTCCATCTCCTCGGGCTTCTTGACACGGATGTCCATCGCAAAGTTGAGGCTCACGTTCACGAACCATGAAAGCTTGATCGAATTGAGTCATTTCTGGAGCCGAAGGTGCCGTCATTGATGAAGTGCAAAAGCTCTCATGCCAAGCACATGCTGCTGCCATGCTGGATTCGGTGAGCATGTGTTCATGACCTGTATTTGCATGACCATTGACACCTTCTACCAAACGACGTGAAAGCCAATCTTTGGGACTCAATTGAAGTTCAATGACATGATCCAAACCGCATTTTCTCCATCTCTGGGTTCCGAACTGAGGCCATTCCAGGGGCAGCAAAGGAAGCATGAAATGCCCAGCTGACATCTGCTGAAGCTTCAACCTGCCAAGTTGGATATAGGTGAACTCAACGGTGCGGTCTGCAAAGTTCAAAACCGTGCCCAGAGAGTCAAGAAAATCACGTCCAAGAAGGCAACCAAGTGAAGCGATAGGCACCACTGAAACCCAAAGAAGTGCAACCCTTGAACTTGCCAAACAAATAGGGATACGCCAGCGCTTACTTGAGGGGGCTATACCACCATTACCAAACTTGAACTTCTCAAACTCATCCATGTGGGAAATCAAACATTGAACATGGTGCGGTGCTGATTTCCGAAGCTGTTCAAGATACTGATCCAACCACTGCTGTCCACAGCACGTTCTATTGCAAGCTGAATCCAGGGCACCCACCAACAGCTTCTCATCTGCCAACGCCTGAACAGGTCGAGATGACGCCAAACATTCATGTTGTGCTCGGGAAGTCATGCTGGCATCAAAAGCTTGCTGCAGTGTCATCATGCCCATGTGATTCACCATGGAAGCTTCATGAACTAATTTGGGGGGATCAGTTGAAGGGGTAGATGATGTTGAAGTCGGGATAGTGCCATCTGCAACATGATCCGCTTGAAGTGCTTCAGTAACCCGAACTTGGCGAGGAGCAACTTTTGCCTTCGCAGCAGGAAGTAACTTGCGACCCAAGCCAGCGCCCGGTTTTGGGCATTCACGGTCGCCGGCCCAGTGGCCATGCTGATTGCAATCGAAGCATGGGTGTCTACCTGAGGCTTTTCGAGCCGCAGGGACATTGGCGCCTTTCAGGCTGCTTGAATTGGAAGCACCAGTTGCAGGCTTGTTGAAACCTCTGTCTTTTCGAAGCTCCTGTAACTTGTTGCGAGCTTCCTTCATGGTAACAAGGGCCTCAGCGGCCTGTTCGAAGTCTGCCTCAACGCCGGCAATCAGGTCGGCATCAGCACCATGGTCTTCAGCTTCCTGAAGCTCCGTTGCCAAGCATTCCACCTCCGCCTGGAGGAAGGATTCCAAAGTAGGCTCATCTGCTGTCGGCTCATCACCACCATTACCATCATCTGCCTCAACCTCAGCTGCAGTCTCGTCCTCTGGAACCTCAGCCAAAAGCACTCGGCGAGGGCCAGAAGCATTTGATGAAGAGCTCTTCCGAAACGTCGAAGCTGAAGAGAACATAGATGGGCTCCGGCTGATAGTTGAACCGGTTGATGAGCTTGTGGATGAAGGTGCCGCCTGAAACATTCGGCGAATTGTTAACTTCTGCTTGTCACCACCAAAGCCAGGCTTACTGCGATACAGTGGGTCTTGAAGGTGGAGCTCTTTGAACAAACGAAGAATTTCGCTTTCTATCAAGTTGTACTCCTCCTTACCATTGAGTGCCGTCTCAAGCAACTGTTTCCTCAAAGGGTCCAGGCCAACCTTGCTTTTCATGAACCAGCCTAACTCAGAAGCTGGCAACACAACTCCTTCTGCTTGAAGATCTGCCACGGCCACACGAAAACGTGTGGCAAACTCAGAGACTCGCTCGCCAGGGCGCCTTTGCAGTTCGACATAGAACTGCTGACGCAACTCACCTCGCTTGTCAAGGACCGTCATGCCATTGATGTCCTCCAAGGCACGCAGCAGCTTATTCAGGCCATGCAGATAGTCAGGTTTCTCGATCTCAATGACTTCGCCGGTTGTTGGATCCTCCGCTTCAACTGCTGGCTTAAACTCCAAGTCCTTAGGGTCAAATTCTTCGCCACGCTGGCGAACAATTCCAGTTTGTCGGAGAAGCCAACGTGCAGCCAAATTGTATCGAGCCGTCGATGGCAAGTCCAACGAGGCAAGCCACCATTTCATGGATCTCTGAAACTCTCGCCAGGTCAATGGACTGCCGTCCCAAACGGGGACTTGGTACCATGGCCCTGATTTTCCATCTTCAGTGCCGTTCCCAGTCATCGACATCGCAATGAACAAACTCCCTTAAGGATAAGCTCCAAGCAATGCAAATGAAGAGGTAGGACACCAAATTGACAAACAACCGCTTGCAACAACCAGTAGTTCAACCAGTCACTTGATGAGACACAGAACCCTAAAATCAATTTTGATCAGGATCCTCGTTCCAGCCCAAAACCAATAGTAACCAGGGTGCCGCGTGGCAAATGAAACACTTCCAGTCTTAAGCCAGGTTGCACAGGTTTATCGGGCGCTGCTCCAAAGGCCAAGGATGCTGCAACCAAATGCTCCGGTGCCACTGTGGAAATGAAGCCCTATTGCAGCGAACAAGCAAACGAAGCAACTCGGACTTTTTCCATTGGTGCGATAGCCACGGCTGAAGATCTGAGATTGGGGCATTGAGCCATATGCCCGCAGCCATTCGACTGCTGTATGTCACCAGTGTCACAACATCACTTTGTCAATGTTTCAGTGTGGTTGCCCCGCGGGGCCGGCCGCTTGCCCCGCTTGCCCCGCTTGCCCCGCTTGCCCCTCTTGCCCCTCTTGCCCCTCTTGCCCAGCCGCTTGCCTTGCCCCGCTTGCCCCGCTTGTCCCCCCGGCAAGCGGGGGCAAGCGGGGGAAGCGGGGCGAGTGGGGCAAGCAGGGCGAGTGGCCAAAATTAATTTTCCTACCAAGGCAAGTGGGACGAGTGGGGCGAGTGGCGGCTTTCAGTTAATTTTCCTTGTGGGCGCCCGCAATGTAATGTTTCGTATCCTGGGGTGATGTCATACATGATGTTGTCATACATTGTCCTCAAACAAGTGCTGTGTGTTACATCGTCTGTGAACATGACATCAGCCCAAAGTCTCCTTGCAGCTGATGAATGTTCGCTGGTACTGCAACGCCATCGTGAGCTGCGCTGATCTCGGGATCGTGTTTCTTATATGTCAGCCTGGTTGACTGGTCGAGTGCTGCGGAAAAGGATGATGGTAGTCATGGTATGACATGGGAGCAAAAGTCAAGGCCGCAATAGGCTGCATGTCATTAAAGACCTGCCACAGCGCCACCATTACCACCACCACTACGACGCTGAAACAACACTGCCGCCACACACCTGGACACACCGGACACACCGCCGGGAAAACCACCAGTAGAACACTGAGAAACCACTGCTGGAAGGACTGCCCCGCCGCCTATAGTGTAGAACCACTGCAAAAGGAATTTCAGTAAATTGCATCATTTCAAGTAGAAGTGGGATCAGTTCAAAATGCTCAAGTGCACAGTAAGACTAGTGACCAAGGTAGCGCATCCAGGCAATCAGTCAATCAGCACAATCAACTGCTTCATTCCAAGGGATGCTATGCAATTCCCTTGCTCCGAGTGTGGTCCTTGGTAGTCTAGCTATGTTCAGCCTGAGTCGCCGGCAGTTGTGCCTCTTTCAGATCATAACTGGAACCTGTCACAAGAAATGCTCCCCAAGCGGGCCCAAGCGACTTGCACCGGCACAGTACGATCTGTTGGAATCGCCTCCGAAGTCAGCCAAGAGCGAGGCTGCTTGTGGACCCCAATCTTCCACCTGGCACCGGGCAGGAAAAAGCGCTGCCACGAGGATGTGCAGTGCCATTGATAGAAAGCGCTTCAGCGAGCTGGATTGGTATGGATGTCAAAGTGCTCGAAGTAGCTGCGAATATCAGATTTTTCAAAAAATGATGTCCCATGTCCTGTGGCACTTCGGCCAGTGACAAAGGCTCGAGAAAGCCTGTTGCTTTGCGTCTATGCCGCAAGCAATGCAAAGTGGCTTGCAGAGAGACCCGTATCCGTTTCGTGGAAGTCGATGATTTTCGTTCATCTTTGCCTAATCACATCGCCTCCCTCAAAAAATATGTAAATCACAATACATCACAATCTGCAGGAATATGTAGGAGAGAAACAGATGCAGGTCTCGATGTAAAATGTCGACCAAAGTCGTACGCGATGCTCGAGTGTCCCTCGAAGCCATCTGCAAAAAATGAATTTAGCTCATAATGGACAGCACTTCTTGACCTGTCTTCCTTTGTTGGATCGAGTATTGGCGTCCGGTTCCAGCTTGGCTGGTTCCGGACTGGCCTGGCCTGTTTCTAGCATTGCTGGTTCTCCCGGTGGTTCCGGCTTCGCTGGTTCCGACTGAGGTTCAGCAGGTTGTTCCTTCTTCTCGTCCTTCTGTGCCTCCATATCCAAGTGCATCATGCACAGGATAGTTTCCATGCTACTTCCAAACAATCTTGTAGATTACTGGTGGATCTCTTTCTTACTAGAAGCATGAACATCCTTACCGGGTCTATGATTGTTTCCAAAGCAATCAAAACTGTCAACCGTGAGCATGCACAATCTACTCCATTTTTGCGGCCTCGCTGGCACCAGAGACCACAGGCCTCAACTTGTCTAGCTGACAAGTCCGAGTATATTTGCCTAGAAATGAAAGGTGACATATAATGTAACCATATGTAACCAACATGCTTCCAACAACAGCCAAGCGATTTCTATGCTTGTCAACTGACTAACCGCATCTTGCCCTGCCAGAAAACATTTCCCACAAGCAAAGCAGCAAGCTCTGAAGTTTGGGAGTCTCTGTGTAGCTAAAAGCTTCGGCACTGAGTATCACACAAGTTCGCAATGGTGCTCTCCACTGGCATCGCAAGGATCTCATCTGCCCTGCCGCCATCACTGAGACCACTTGGAAACCACTTGGGAAGTTGGAAACCCACGAGCCAACCTGAATTCGCTCGCGGTGTCGTGCCCCGCGGCGCAACATGTCAAAGCGCAGTTTCCACCTAGGGCACACGAAGGTATGCCTGTTACAGGCTGTTGGAGTCTTGGATTTTCTTTGGCCAAAAAAAAATGTGTGGATCTGTGTGGCATCTTCAAATGAAAAGATGTGAAAAGCACAAACATTTCAGGCCTTCTGCAGACAGCTCTGTGCCCAGAATAAGTTCAGCCTACGACCAGTACTGCCCACTCTAGGTCACTAGATGTCACTAGTGTCACCGCGGTGATCAAAATGATGATCCAATCAAGGCAGAAGAATTTACAAATCAGTCACATGTCGGCCTTGAGGAAAGGCCCATCCAGCATTTTTGATGGATCCTAAGCAAAGCGAACCAAATCAGCCCTCAAATTAGCTGAGACAGCCTTTTCTGTTCATTATCTGTTCATCTCTAAGCTGGTGTCCAAGTCAAGGCGAACAACCTCGGTCTCCAAACAGGGCACCAAAGCATCGACAGCTTTCTACTGGACACATCCTGTGGTCCTGTGCTCCCGGCACCACAATTTGGCAGTTTTCCAAAGCTCAAGCGCTGAGCCAACTCATTTTGCCTGCAGCTTCACCAACAGAGGGCTTTTTGAATCGGCTCCGCTAATGACGTCATGACATCACTGCTGTTTCGCGCTGTTCTTTCCCAAGATCATCCGAGATCATCCAAGATCGGTGAGGTTTCAGTCAGAGTGTGGACTAGATTCTGGAATGTTCAGTCAACGACACACTAGCCATTCGAAGCTCAGAATTGTTTGAAACACCTGAACAAATCATAAATCATACTCATGTAATCCATATGCTATTAACTTTTTTGCGTCCCCGAGGATAAAGCTTGGCGATTGAGAACGAGGAGAGATTTTTCAGAACAAGGACATGAGACATATTTGCTCAAGATGGTTCCAGGGTTGTGCAACATTTGGAGCAAAAGCTGGTAGTCACTGGTAGTCCTGGTACCGTACCTGTAGGAATCGTTGAAGTACTTGCGCATCAACTGCTGAAAGAAAAGCGAGTGCCCAAAGACCACGACGGACTCGTCGGACCTGATTTAAGGCCCATCATTTAAGGCCCATCCCCCTTTTCCCATTAAAAATGGTGATTTTCCCATGAAAAATTGTGATTTTCCCATTAAAAATGGTGTTTTTAAACACTCTCAATGTATGGTCCTGTGATGAAATCACCCCATCCACCATGGTTTTTTTTAGGGGTGTTTAATATGAATCGGGGGAACGGATTTGTAAATCTCAGGTTGCTCAGAAGCTGGCGCAAACAGGAGTTGGTACATAAACTCTTCCAGACGAGCCTGTTCCAAAATGCAACTCGCATGCTGTGCCACAGTCTGAAGCGACAAGGAGCCATCCATACTGAATTTGATCTTCCTGAAAACGTTACAAATACATCTATCATATGTACGTATGTATGCGTATGCGTGTGCATATATACATATACATATCCATATACATATACATATACATTTACATATATATATATATGTCTATATTGTGTATTTATACTATATAATGATATATATATATATATACACCTATTCTGTGTATACATATATACATATATCATCATATATCTATATGCATAATGTGTATACATATATCTAAGTCAAGGCCCCTTTCCTGCAGCTGCTTTGTAGACTCAGACTGGCCCTGGGGCCACCATCTGTCTCCGACCTGAAACGAAAACCCGTTGAGTCACAATCAGGTGACCCACCAAACAGCTGCAGATGGTCTGTCTTCTCTTTCAATCTCTCCTTTCCTTGGTCCAATATTGAACAACAACCTCTGCGTTGTTATCATTCTTGTTTCCCAACAACGTTGTGCTTGGGCCTCTTCAAGGTCGAACTGAAATTGGTCGAAACATGCTTCAATCATTTTTTCCTGCCAGGCTCAAACCATCGGCACGCTGTGCACATGCACAAACGCTCAAATCGTCCTTGCCCGTGCCAGAATATATGCTTTGAAGCCTGAGCAAACTGCAGAAATCTGAAGGAGGCATTCCGTCTCGGAGAGAACTGAGTGGGGACGGACCATAAACGTAGCTCTGCAAACTTCTGTATGTCTTTCCTTTTTCCAATTTTTTCCTCTGATCATGTTGGATTTCCAGAAACTCCAAGTTCTCTGCTCCTCCCGGCATCCTTGCAGGATCTCCTGCTGAAAGCTGTGAAAAAAATGGCTGCAGCAACAGACACGGTCCAGCTCTGCTTGATCTGAGCTGTCCTGACCAATCTTGGTACAATGGGTATCTAAGCCGCCAAGATTCTGCTTCTCCTGGCAAGTTGCGCGCCACAACAGCTGCCTAACAGCTATCCAACAGCTGTCCACTTGGCGTTTCGTGATATGTTGATATATTTTGGGCATATTTTGGGCACATGTGCCACATGCCTTGGCATTCGGAGCAAGAATCAACCTAAGCCAGGGCAAGGAGTGTGCCTTTCGTGTGCGATTCTGGCTTTGGGAGTCTCTGATTTGAAATGAGGTGTCGGATCTATATAGCTGGTAAATGGATGTTCATCCCACTAAAAATGGTATTATATAATAGGTATTGATCCATACCCATATCATTCAGGCAAGACTTCACCAGCTGCGTGATCTTCTGAGTTTGCTGCTCCCTCTGATGGTCCGAAGCCTCGCCAGAGTTCGGAGGATTCGAAGCAAGCAAAAGACCATTTGAGGGAAAAATGCACATGAACTAAGAATTAAGGGATTGTCAAGAATTAAGGACTTGCCGAAAATCAGGAAGAAACTGGACTATTCCAAAACATGTTTCAGAGAAACTTTGCTCTTCTTGCACAGGAGGTAGAGCAGCAAAGAGAAGAGGCTGTCAGTAATTTATTCAGGATACTATGGCCTGAAAGTATGGCATGGTGGCATGACATTGTCTGGTTTGCATCGCACCAGAAACAAAGTTGCCTTGGCAAGAATTGGTCCGTAGGCAATCACTGCAGTTTGCAGTGCGCGTCCAAGAGGAGATGCCTCAGCAAGTGCACGGTTGAGGCATCTAAATACGTTTGCAAGAACGATCCAGGACCGCCTTCTGCGAAAAGTATCAACAACTATGGGTTTGTCTGGAAATTTAGTGGAAAGACATGGAAAAAACAACGAAATTCGATATGGATTGTATTGTTTTATCATCATGTTCTCTCTTAAAATGGCATCTTTGGGTGTAGGCTAGTCTATGCTACCCCATGTTCAGACTCAGATTGACCGTGTTTTGACCGTTGACCAAGTTGCCATGATGATGCCGGGACGTAACATGGAACTCACGCTGAGATTTGGAGTTGCGCCAGCCAGCTCCTCAGGGAACACTCTGAGTTACTTATTGGACTGTTTCAATGGACGGAATGGGGTACCCAATTTTAGGACCTATGAACAAAGGATAACAGTTAGGGGAGAATTCCATAGAGTCACACGGTCGACAAAATCTTCGCAAGGCCGGAAGCTGAAAACGTCGCCACATGACACCCATTTTGGGGAGCTGGCATTGTTGAGCTCTGATTGCATTCGGCGGCTCAAAGACTCTGCCTTGTCACTGTGCAGCTATTTGTCTTGGTCTATCTTGGTCTCTTGAAATGGTACTGTACATCTGCGCACATCTGCGTGGGATCGCAGTCATTCACCATCCGCCTGATCGCGACCCTTTGAAGACAAGGAATGGTCCGTAGTTCGCACCATTCCATGGATGTCCAGCTTGCCTTGTGCCTTCGTGGCAGATCCACAGCTGGTTTAAAAAATCAAGCTAGCCATCCTGGCTGAAAATCTGCAGGTCCAGGCTTTGTTCCATTGGCTTTCACCATGCCTCACCAAATACCTGAGTCTAAGATATCTAAAGATATCTAAAGAGATCTATATAAATCATCTAAGTCTTGAACTCTTGCGTTTTCAAAGCGTTTCATTCCGAATGGCTCGAAAGCAAAGCGACACCCGCAGCTTAGGTTGGCACACTGTCCGTGGCTGTAAGACTTCCTGAGGATGATAAAAATAAATCGTTCGAACTCTTTCACCAATAATAGCTTCATGGTCTCGTTATTCTCGTTGCAACTGCGACGGCCCGGGTGAGCAAAACTGGGCGAGGCACTTTGCAGTCCAAGATCTGGAACGAGACCGTAGGACTCATTCCTCCACAGCGTTTCTCTGAGCTTTCAAGAAAGAGTGGACCAAGAGTGGACCAAGGTATACAAAGGTCACAATACAAAGGTCGCATCAGAGAAATTGATTTCGAATGATTTCGAAAAGCAAACATTCCAACTACCAGCGCTGCTCTCTACAATGATGTTTGGTGTGTCTTTGGTATGGTGGTCGGTAAGCAGTAGATATCAAGCAGAGTTCTGTTGGAGTTGTGTCCTGGTTGCATGGTCTCCACGGGTCGTGCAATCTTCTGGTGCAGAAGGAGATCCTCACAGAAGTTTTAGATCTCTTCTGTATCTTCTTGTTTGTAGGTCCATTTAGACAGCACAAGCTTGCATCTTCTTGTCTTAATATCAACATGCCAAGCTTCCTTCATCGGCAAACGCAAGGAACCAAGCACAGAGCTTGCATCTCGGATCCTGGTACAAGATGTACAATTGAGAGTTTGCACGTTTGCATTTCTCAAAGACATCATGGGCTCAGGTTCTATCGATTCTATGTCATGTGCAGCTCTGCTTGCGAACACAGGTACTCCACGCATAGGCTTGCAGATGCTGTCTGGGCCTGTGCTTCGGGACAAAAGCCAGTTCTTGATCTGACGCGATCGTTGACAGGATCAGCAAAGCTAGGCTTCTGACACTGAACTGAAACCCCAAACTGCGAGCAGAAAACCTCAGTAATGATGATATATACCTTTCTCCAGTTTGAAGCTCTTTCATTTTCCTTCCACTTCGAAGCTCCAGTGACTCCAGTGCGCAGCAGTTTCGCAGATTCCTTCTTTGATTTCCCTTGTGGTACAGGAAAGCTATATTTCTGATTGCTGCCAGGTGACCAAGCAGGATGCAAACAGGTTTTGCTTGGCCACTCTGCAACCTGCACGTCAGGAAACTGAAGCGACATCGCGCCATGTTGGATTCACATCCACCTGCCCAAGAGGCTTTCCGGCAGCTTCAGCCCACACCACTACTGTTGGATGTCTGCTGACTCCCTGGGTCCACAGGTCAAGATGGTCAAGACCCCATGCTGTGGGGAAAAGAACCAACTTGAAATCAAACAACCGCTGTCAACAGCACCTCCCAAAACACAACTCAGGGCCGGTCGCCGCACATATTTGGCTGCGAGCCCAGGGATGGCACGTTGCTGACCTTCAGGTCCCGTGAAGTCCGCTGCTTCTGATGGCATCGACCGGCGGTGCGGCGGCGCCTCTTCCAGGAAGAAGGCGCATGTGCCGCCTGAGTAGTCGCCCACCTCGTCACAGAAGATATGGGAGTCATGGAGGAGACTTCACGAGAGTTCGAAATCTGATGGAACACGAAAAGGTAAGCATAGCCAGCGTAGCGGCGTAGCTCTGACACAAGTGGCCTTTACTGATCCACCATGGAAAGGAAAACTTCGGGCCTGGACAGCGCCGAAATCGGCGGACAAAAACTGACACGCAGTAAACTGACACCGTGTAGCCTTTGCCCGACCGGTGAGCTTCCTGGACTCTTCCTGACGAAAAGGCAAGAGATGGGAAGAGTATCGGATTCATGTGGCGGCCTGCGGACTCCGGACTCCATCCGGACTCCATCCGCAGCGGGGCCTCAAAAGTCAGCGGTTGCACCTTCTCCACGTGTTCGCACTGGCCCATGGCCTCAGTTACCAGTCAGAACCCCCCATGGCCATGATGGCCATGATGGCCATGATGGCCATGATGGCCATGGGCTCAATGCTCACAGTTTATATTCCCGGCCAAGAAACTGCAGGACGACCACGTGGCCAACGGGCAATGAAGAAATAGTGTAGTTTGTTGTAAGATGTTGTAAGATGTTGTAATGATTGTAATGGCAACAAGTTCTGCAAAGCTGATCTTCTATGCTGTCTACTTCTTTTTTGTGTGCTCTCGCAGCATCTTATCAGTGCCTCGAAAACCTATGGTTTGCGCAAGTCTTGAAAGAGAAAGTCATAGAGGTGATCATACTACTACTTGATTACTTGACTGTGAACGAGACTTGCTCAGGAAACAACAAGTAAATCAGTAAATCATTACCTGTCCAAGTCCAACGACATTGGCTCATGCAACCCTAACGAGCCGACATGCAGCGGCGGCCATGCATTTCTGCAAGTGGCAACCACAGGCTTCGGTAAAATGTTAGAGCCAGCAGTTCATCCAAACTAGCCGGTCACCAGTGGCATTATCTAGACAGCTGCGACTGCCCAGGGTGGTTGATAGCTACTCCAGCAAAAAAGAAAAGGCAAAGCATAGCATCATGCTGTTATGCTTCATTCCTGGATAAATGATGCCCAAAAAGTCACCTCAATGAACATTAAGGTGAGTATGATAATTTATCATCATCTATCGTCATCTATCAATTTGTCGCAAGAAATGCATGCTGCGGTCACCTTCTTGAGCTCAAGAAGCCGCAGCAAGCAGCGCACTGCGAATACTCCAGAGCTCACAGAGGCCTTGAGCTGTGCGGCACTTGACAAAAATGCCGGCCTGGTTGGACCTAGTTGGTCTCTGGCAAAGTGGAATCAACAATTCAACAATTCAATACTTTAGCAGCATTCAATGTACATCATGTACTTCAGACGTTCATCCAATTTTAAGATTGCTCACATATTCACATCATTTCACATCCAACCACTTTCGGAAAGTCCAAATGATTGGGTCAGGTTCCTTTGAGTCCGGCGCTTTTACACCTGCCAATGCAAGTCTTGCCTGCCGTACAAAGAATTAAACCTGCTGGAACTGCAAGGCGAGAGCATCCTGCCTCTTGAAAGCCGCTGGATAGGGCCGTCTGCAGAACGGAGAGGAAATTGTCCTGCCACAGGCTGACCTGTGGATAGCAACCTGTTGAATACTTGGGATTCAGCATCAAACCATTCAAATGACTAAATCAATTGGTCCATCGACAAAGTCTTTCGCAACTATCTTGATCTATCTTGCCTCTTCTTCCAAAGTGTAGGCCTTTCCAGAAAGCTGCGCACAGTGCTTTCCAATGACCGTGCTTCCTGTTTGGATCTGTTTGGCCTCCAACAACGCCTTTGGAAGAGTAGGCACCATGGCACGTGCAAAACCATGAAGATCTGGATGTTGCTGGATGTTGTTGATCAAACATGATCGATCCGAATCTCGTAAATTGGTGTGCTTCACCTCTGGAGGGATTTGCCTTGGTGTGGCTTGTCCTATTCTTGGATCTTTATCCACTAAGACTACTCAGACTCGACGGATGCTGGCAATCTGGAGTGTTCTTTGCCCTTGTATGTCCAAAGGTTCTGGTCGACATGGCAAAATGGCAGCAAAATGGTAGCAAAATGGCAGCAAAATAACATAATGATGGAATAATGAGTACATAGATCGCCGTTTCCACTATAGATAGCCACTGCGACAGCTGCGACAGCTGACTCCCAGTTCGGTTCTGGCGACAAATGCCCTGCGATTCGATAGCCTGGCTGCAGTTTAAGCTTCAAGGCTGCGGCTGCAACTCATTGCAACTCATTGCAACTCCGCCCCATCAGGTTTCACACCTTTTGCTTTCCTGTTTCAATGGTGAAATCGTGAGATATCTGAGATGGTCTTCTTCACAGCAGCAGAAAACCCAATCAAGCCGCAGAAAACCCGTGATCGGACTGACTGGACATCAGGGCTTGCACACTGTGACGCATCCTGCAACGATTACTGGAGAGGCAAGGAATCCGCTGGAATCCTTCTCTGAGCATTTCCCCACTCTGCTTGGCGCTGTCACCAAATTTTCGGAGAAGACATTTTGGATGAGCGAGCACGGATGAATATAGGCCGCAGCTGCGGTGTGGCAACAACATTGACGTGTTTAGAGACGACACATTGAGAAAGACATTGATTCTACAATAAGCTTGGCAGAGAATGATACAAAGTCACCAGGTTTGCTGCGAAGTCAAAGGAAGTGTCAAGTCCACTCTTTTCAAACGGTTGAAGTCTAAACGAAAATGTCATCAAATGCAGCTGATATGTACGGGTGTGGTTTGGAACATTATCAAATGCTTATCTCCAGAACTAGGCACTCACACATTGCTCACTAGTATTGTCGATGGTTGCTATGAGGTAAAAAACATTTTACTTTTCGTTGCTATTCAGTCACAAATCCGGGGCGCAAAAGCGTCGATCTGTGCTCAATTCTGTGCAAATATATAGGATCCCGCGCTATCTGATACTCATAGCCTGTTGAAAAAAAGAACAAGTTTATAGCCTATATAATAAATATGTGCATATATTATACCAGTAGTGCCCGCACGAGGCGGGGCGGAAGTTGCCTTAAAGATATATATAAGACCTTTCTCATCTATAGAACTTGCATGCGCCGTGCGCCAGCCAAGCCCGTGCGTGCGTGCACTCTGCGAAAGTGGTGTCCTGTTTCACATGTCACATTTGAAGCTCCACTTCGCCCTTCACACTTCTCACTGCACTCTTCACACTCCACACTGCACACTTCACACTTCACACTCCACACTTCTCACTTCACACTGCACTCTTCCCAATCCACACTTCACACTTCACTGCACGCTTCCCACTGCACACTCCACACTTCACACTTCACACTCCACACTTCACACTTCACACTCCACACTTCACACTGCACTCTTCACGCCCCACACTTCACACTGCACTCTTCACACTCCACACTTCATCTCATCTGAGCTCTTCTCACCTTATCCCAGCTCATCTCTTCTCATCTCATCTCTTCTCATATGTCATCTAAGCTTTCATGAATCACTTCCCAGTACTTCTACTAAGGAACTGGATCTCGACGCCAAAGCGACAAAAAGACGATTTTGAAGCACTTTTTAAAAGGAATTTTAAAAGGAATGCAGCATGCAGCCGGTGCGCCCATCCTGTTCTGATTCGCATTCCCCAGTTTCTTCACAAACTTTGAATTCCTTATGTGTCCTTTTCTTACCATACCTTTTTTTGCTTGGCATCACACAGAAACTGTTTTAGTTTTGTATCAAACACCATTGAAGCTACATGTCTTTACTTCAGAAGTAAGCAGAACTCAGCACCCAGCGCGATGCAGATCATGGTCCTTTTTCATCTCACTCTGAATCCTTGGCAACAATCATGCCTTGATCACGCGGCCCGCACTGGCACGCGCGCCATGGCAGTGAGTGTCCTGCACGCGCAAGCATCAGCGATGCAACAGCAGACCTTAAAAATAAGTCTGGAGTTACCCGGAGCCCATTCACTGGGCCTCTTCTTTGCAATCAAGTTCCACCACAAGAACATATGCAAGACTCGAATTCCCAGCGCGGTGAGAGCCACGCATTGTGGGAAGCTGCACGTCTGATTTTCCCGGCTGGAGGCATTTCGCAGCTCCTGTTGCAAGGCTTCATCGCAAGAGGGGCATATAGATAAGGAGGAAGCAATGGCAAGAGGTTCCAAGACAGGCCTGTCGTGTCCACAAGCGATCCAGCGGTGATTTTCCAGCGCCTTTGTCACTCGAAACAAGTGATGGCAACGAGTATCGAATTCGTTCATGGTTTCAACGTCAATGATGCGCGGGATCGTGGGCAAGATTCTCTTGCAAAAGTCCCGGTGTCTCAGGTACCGCTGATCTTGCAAAATAGCATCCGCTGTCGCGCGGCAGACGCAGGCCAACGGACAATGCTGATGGCTGTGCAACAGCTTCAAGGTTACCAGATGCTCGACAGCACAAAGCCATGGCTGATGCTCATGCCGCATTTGCCCGAACGCCCGCACTGGCGATCCGTTGCTCCAGGTTCCTATGCCACTGCTCGTCGGTATTTTTGTTCCTGCAATAAATTAAGCATGATGCATATACATTAGTTACGCCCTCTATCCCGTTTATTGGATTTGGCGATACTGCAACCGTCACAACCATAATTTAAGGTTGACGCTGTTCTTTCCTTTTTTTTACATGACGACAAACTTGATAATGAGCACAACAACTGGAGCCAGATAACTGCAGTGACAACTCAATGAATCCTATCCGCTTCATTGTCAACCTCTTCCCTCGGCGAACAGTTGCACCCATTCCATGCTACAAAAGCTTCTTCTCCAATAGCACAATAGCCATGCATCCGCCTTGCTTTGGCAATTCATGTCCCGACACCGCTTTCATCAAATTTCAATCACACGACCCGTGGCCGAGCGTTTCATTTTCCTTCCATCGCAGCCACCTTCGACCCGCACTGGTACGAAGGACGATGTCAGACACTATAGAGACTGCGACGCTATATGAGCGTCACATGCGCTCGTCAAGTCGAAGTGACGAGGAACAACTTGAAATAGAGTTTCATCCTGTCACAGCAACCTCCGACCCGCACTGGTACGAAGGATGCCGTCAGGCACTGCCAGCACGAGGCAAGCATTCAAATTCGAAGAATCTTGGAAGAACTTCAAGTGTGTGCCGAAGTGCTGTGGCTCGGCGATGTCAAAGTCTCCCTCACTTTCTTGACCTTCGTCAACGGCGTCTGCAGCGACATTTCAGCCGCTCTGCGCTTGTTGCCTTCATCTTCAAAGCTACTCTCTTGCCACGCCTTGCGTTTGCACCAAGCGTCTAAGTCAGCGGGCTCTGCATTGGCATAAAAGACAACTTGCCAATATGCAACGCTTTCAAAGCCACACAAAATCTTTTTCACACAGCAAGCTTT